TTTCGGATCGAGGGCCCTTGAGTCAGCTTGGAAAAAGTAGCATTGCCATTGCGTTTCGGATTCAAACCTTTTCATATCACAAAGTTCTGGAACCTTCGGACGCAGCTTGCTCGAATTGAGTATCTCGCCCATCTCGCCTATGAATATGCCCCTCAATTATTATCATCACCCCCGCAGAAAATCATTTCTACAAGAATAGCCTATTTAGACCATATACTTCGCCATGCTGATTCCCTGGAACACATATGTATTTTCCAAACGGCGCACGCTTAGCGACGACTTCATAGGAGACGACCAGGTCACCTTCGCATACATTGGTCAGAGCTCACCATGATCCAGGCGTATCAACGCCATGCCATCCTTTCCGGTAATTCTACTATTCCACGCCCTATCAGCTAAACCATGATATCTATCATCATCCATCCGAGCGAGAGGTGGCTGCTGCGCAGTCTCGACTTTTTGGTAACACTGACCTTTGGAGAACCTTACAGCCTTTGGCACGGGATAGGAAATTTGGGCTAGTTTAGAGGTTTTGCCTTAACAGTTGAAAGGGCTGCTGACGACTGGTCTCACTTGTGGACTGGCTCTGCGCGACTGAGAGAAAGAGAGCGAGAGAGAGAGGATTCTCTGAGGCTGGGTCCCGGGGGCCCGGGTGAGGAGCAAGCTGGACCAGGAAAATAATTCAGGTAAATTTTGAGAGTCTAACAGCCCTAGCGCAGCCAAAAGCAGCAGCTTCTTGCAACTTTTTTCGACAAGCATTCGTGACGAGTTTGTCTCCTGCTTCATTGATGCAGTGTTTCGAGTCCAGTGTTTAGCTGCACGGAAACATCATCGATGACGCGCCAGCCCCGCGATTTCCCGTCGCAGATCAGTGTATCTGCAAAGAAGTTGCTGCGCCGTTCTCGCTGTCCGTTGCCTTTGAAAGAAATCCACGAAATGGTGAACTCCGAGCTTGGCGAGACTTTTGACTATCAGCTGTTCTTGCATGAGTTGCGCACGTCTACCAAAAATGGAGCTCCGCGGTTCATCATTGACGGGGAGGTCGTTTGCCTGGCGCAGGGCATTCTTGCACCCGGGTGCAGGGCTGCACCTGAACCATGTTCATGGCAGCTCTGTGAAGCATTTGCAGTCCAGGAACAAATAAGCAAGCGAACAAAGAGATTGCTTTGCAGCTTTGGCGGCGCCATGCGATTGGATGATATCGAACAGCATCTGCGAGCCAGCGGTTGCCAGTGGAGCAGAGGGCAGCTCATCAAAGCTTTGCACAGTTCTGCCAGGAATGGCGTTCCCCGCTATGTGTTCGATGGGGAGCTGGTCCAATTGGTCAAGGGGCCGTCGTGGCGCCGAAAGCAAAAGGAAGCATCAAAGGAGCTTGCAACCTTCCTGCAAGAGGTAGATTTTTGCAGCTGCCCGTATAACATCGCCTTGGACCTACCCGGCTTCAAAGGCAACGGTGAGTTGCTGAAGCAGGTTGTACATGACCAGAGCCACGCTGATGGCCGTTTGCGCTTCGAAGAGCGCGAGTTTGGTGGATCAAAGTGGATCTTTGCCACAGAGTCCATGAGACGGTACAACTGCCAGGACGGGATTTGCATTTGAGTCTGGACGTACTGAATCCGAAGTGTCGCAGTGTTTTCGGAGGAGAGGCATGAGGAGGTGAAAATGTTCCATCTTTCCATGTTTTAAATGCATTGCAGGAGAAGCTGCGGCAGCAAGCTTTCGAGGCCATCCGTGCGCTGGATGCGGAAGTGCAATCCAGGCCTTCGAAGCTGCTGGAGGATTCTAAAGAGACTCCGCTCAGATAGGGGCCTGAATAGGTTGAGTGGGTTTTGTATTTTTGGGTGGGAGTATAAAGTTTTTGTATTCCGAACCTTAAGGCCTCACGGGATAGTATTCCGAACCATTAAGGCCTTACGGGATAGTAGTGGTAAGGTTTAAGGCTTCTACGTCGCAAGCTGGAGCGGGTCTTCGGGTTCTAGACACTCATGGCAGAAAGAGCAGGACCGGATTGAGTCTGAGGGTGAAGCATCTAAGGATACAGCTGAGATTTCAAAACTTGGACAATTGATGCGAGACTGGATTTCTGGAGCCAGTTGGTTGACGTGCTTGGATCACGACGGCACACTTGTGGATGAAGTTCCTGGCATCATGACTCGGGTGCACCTCTTTGATGGTACGGGCATCGAAGTGAGATTGCACATGTTTGTGGATCCGACAGAGACCTATATTCACAACCACCGCTCAAACTTCTTCAGCTATTGTCTCAGTGGCAGGTACTGGCACAAGATTTGGGGCGTGGACGAATGCTCCGGAGGCGAGCGCTACTTCGTCGTCAATCGCACGACAGATCCCCTGTTCGAGCAACCCTTGGACAAGCCGGGAAGCTTAAGCGTCATCGCAGCGCACACGCACCAAGAGCGTGGCTCCTACTACATCAGGTCTGTGACTCCGCATACCGTCCAGCCGCAGATGGAGGGAGATCGCGCCACTCCTGTTCTCACCATCTACATCAAGGATAAGGCTGCAGGTCCTGATACCTTGGTTCGAGTTGCGAAGATGGAGGAACTCACAAGTCTCCGAGAGCAGCAGCAAGAAACTCAAGATTGCCCTCTTCAGGGGCGCGAGAAGCTGGAGAGATTGAGGGCAATTCACAACCTCACACGACACGCGGACAAGCAGAGGAAACGGCCAAGCTAGATTGAGGGCAACACCGCCCCCCACTGCGGTTGTGACCTGCAGGCCATCTTGCCGTGCTCCCGACTGTCGGCCCAACCTTGACCTTGCATTCGTGTACAGCTGAGCTGCGCATCGGCATTTGGACCCTTTCTGCAAACGCGGAACACTCCCGCAACACCGTGTGTACAGTCTGCAGAAGGAGGCTACAAAAGCGGGGGGGGGGGGCGGTTCTCCGTCGAGCCCACAGAGTGCTGTCCGAAAGTCTCGCCTGGATCCTGCCATGAACTGCAAGCCCGTAAGGCGCCTCTTTTGACATGTAGACATCTTAAACCCCACCCATAGGCCCCATAGTAGTTCCTTTTTGTGGCTTATATCTGGGATCCCATTGGTCCCATTAGGTAATCCCCAAAAAGAACTACTATGGGGCCTATGGGTAACCCTAAACGCTTGGCTGTCGTTCTCTTGGCTCGAAGGGCTCCGGCAGTCGCTGGACTTGTGAACCTTTCCAGACTACTCAGCGACACGATGGCTTCCAGGCTCCAGGGCTGCGGGGGAAGGTTTCGGGGGCGAAGAAGCGCTTCTTTGGGCGGGGCTGGGGCTCAGAATTTTGGGGCTCGGGGCTTTTTTGGGCTTAAGGCTTTTTGGGTGTAGAGTCCAGGGCTGTTGCATGTTCGGAACAGTCGAAACTCGCTTGGCAAGTCGGGGACTGTTGGTGAGTCCAGCGCCACGTGAAGTATGTTGGAGCGTCTCAGATCAACAGCTGTCGGGGTTGAGGCAGTGATGTCTGCGTGGTGCCCAAAAGAGGGAACTGCAGCAAATCAGCCAGAATCAGGAACCCCAGCACACTACTAAGCAAGACTTGAAGCCCAAGCCGCTTTTGTTTCGCTATATGTCAGACGTTGGATGCAAAGGTTGCCTTCAGGCAGCTTTTCCTACCAGGCTTTCACTCCAAAGCTGGGGAATGACGACACACGTGTCGCGACCTGCAGCGTGTATGCGTCAGGCTGCGAGTGCCACAAGGGCATCGCACACAGTCGAGAAGACACTGGTCACTTGATTCAAGCCTCTCACCCCGACAGCAAGGATTATCATAGGGATCCGAATTTGAGGGCCTTCCAAGGAACGGGTTTATCAGTGACAGAATGTCAACAGACATTTTCCATCACAGAAACGAGCAGAACCGCCTGTTGGCTTATGTAAACCCTCACATCAATTCTAATAGTATCCCGCATAGTTGCCCTTATGCATAGTACGTAATTCTTGTAGTAATCCTCCCTGAAACTCTTGAGAAATGTCCGATAGAAACTTGGAAGGAAGCCCTGATTGAACTCCACAAACCCTAAACACCAAACCGTCTTAATGATACGTTAAGCCATACCCTAAACCCTAAACCCCGAACCCAAAGCCCTAAACCCTAAACCCCGAACCCAAAGCCCTAAACCCTAAACCCCGAACCCAAAGCCTCATTAGAGCCTGATTCAGCCGAGCAGGTCCACGGCCATGGGGGTGACCCTCGGAGCCCTGGGCGCGGCATCCCTGGTGGGCTCCACGGTGGGGGCCCTCAGTTCTTCTTCTTTTTTTTTTTTTCGCAGGTTTTAGGGTTTTAGGGTTTAGGGTTCAGGGGTTTAGGGTTTAGGGTTGAGGGTTTAGGGTTTAGGGTTTAGGGGCAGGTCATGATCCTTTCTGGTTTGGGTTTAAGGCTTCTATGAGAGTAGTGTACAAGAGCTACCGCAATGGTTACTGTCACAGTTGCCGATAAAGCTAACTATACGGGTTTCTGTACAGGTTCATTGCGAAGTTCTCTACATGTTTATGTCCCCAATTCAGTACGGCACCCTTATAAAAAGGACCCCCAAAAGGGACCCTAATTTAGAGAACTACCCTTATAGAAACCCTGAGAGATCCCTTTGAGGAACCCTAAAAAGGACCCCAAAAGGGACCCTGGTTTAGAGAACCCTCATACGTTCGGTTTCAGGCTTTGGGCGCCAGGACGTGGGCGTCTAGTTTGGAGCTTTAGGGTTCAGGGTTTTAGGGTGCAGGGGTTGTTTGGGTTTAGGGTTTAGGGGTTTAGGGGTTTAGGGTTTTGGGTTTTGGGTTTTGGGGTTTTAGGGTTTAGGGTTTGAGGGTGCAGGGTTGTCTGGGGTGTTTGCTCTTGGCACTTGGTGTCGGTGTGTTTCAGATCCCCCGGCTCTGTCGCAAACTGTGAATCTATGTGGCTCCAAGTTGGGGGTTTTCGCCTTGCGTTCGGGCTCCACCTGACCCCGTCAATGACTAGCCTTCAATCAGCTGAGGACGAATCCTCAGGGTCTTTACGATTTTGTTGCCTGAGAGTCAACCCTAAACTCTCTTCAAACCCCTAACCCTAACCCTAAACTCCCCTTTTTTAGACTTCACAGCAACCCTTAAAGGAACCCTTACAGGAATCATTAAGAGAACGCCAGAGCCTCGCCAGAGGCATTCGTGGCCCCTGGGGCGCCCGCCGCCGCACCTTCGCTCAGGGGCACGGCACCGCCGTCCCGCGAGGGAGTCAGCGGAGTGCAGGCTCAGTGATACATTTTGTCATTGTGCTCCCATATGGGAGTTTCCGAAAGTAAGGGGTACCTTTATTTGGGGGTCCTTATGATAAGGATCCTACTATTTGGTGTGCTATATCAGGGTCCCCTATTTTCGGAAACCCCCATATCTTGGACCCCCAAAACCCCACATATGATAGGTGTACATCTCTACATATCCGACGTAGCTAAAGAATGCTAAAGATCCGATGTCAGAATTGTGCAGCTGTGGTGCCGACCCCTTTTTAAGTCCCCATGCTGCCAGGCCCTAAACCCTAAAAGCAAAATTGCTATGTGTGTACATCCAGGGCAATTTGTGATAGGTTGTATAGTATGATGTGATGAAGAGTAAAACGCGTATTCAAAGTAGGCTTCAAGAATGCCTGAACAAATAGCTCCTAGACTTTCTGCAACCTTATAAGAGATCCTAAACCTAAACGGCCGCGCAAAGCCTCTCCAAGCCTCAAGAATACCCTGGATGAACCCTCAACCCTAAGCCGGGAAAACCCCTGAACCTAAACCCGAAACCGCGAAACCCCGAAACCCCTAAACCC